TTCGTATTTTACGGAAAATAAGCTAAACGTGCTTAAATTCGTGTGATATTTTATCAAATCATTACCTTTCAATTCGGCTGAAAAGTCTGGTAAATTCCTTTTTTTCACGTTGACACAATAAAGTGATCAAGCAAGGTAACGTGATATCAGCAACCAATATTGTTTGCTGATATTTTGTTAGGCACACCGATGACGTCGTATCACGTGACTGTACCTCCTCTATATATGAAACATTTTATAAAATACTAGCAGACCCCACCACACGTTGTTGTGACTCAAAATGTATCTATTATAAATGTGTAACACTTCCCCCCGTGGGGGGGGGAATTTTTCGAAAAATCTCTTACTGAACATTTTCTTGACGTACCCTATTAAGACGCAATCAAAAACGCAAAAATCCGCATCTGAGATAGTATAAACAGAAGCAGAGTTCTTTACGGTAAGCCTTAATCCTGTCCCTCTCCCCCACGGGGGGAATATCAAAAAATCCCTTCGTAGTGTATATTCTGTGACGTACCGTATTAAAACGCAATGAAAAACGCAAAAACCCGCATTTAAAATAGTATAAATAGAAGCAGAGTTCTTTAGAGTAAGACTTAATCCTGTCCATCTCCCGGGGGGATTTCGACATGTATATTATATAAAAACACGTGCGTATTTGAATGCAGCGTTGTGTCAAAATTTCAAAGGAATCGGTAGGAACAAACGAACATTACATTTTTCTTTATATAGATAGATAGAAGATGATCCGCTTTAGTTCATTTTCACAGAAAAGCATAATGCCACACAGAAAAGCAAACTTAGGGTGTCGTACTCGTAGCGCCATCTGTTGGAGATAAAAGCCTTAACCTAGATTATATATTTTAATTTATATGAATGTCTAACGGAATAATATACAGCCTATGTCCACCCTGAGGTTCCATTCTAAATATTTGTGAAAGAATTTTTGAAATCGGATGAGTTGTTTCGGAAATTACCTGCTGCAAACAAACTTACAAACGTTACCTCTTTATAATATTAAGTATAGATTTAAAAACATAACTATTAAACATGAACAATATGGATTTCAAAGCAAAAATCATGTTGTAACGACATATCTACAAGATTAAATTTCTCTTTCTCAATTTTACAATTAAAAATTCATTTTAGATAATGGAATAAACGTAGTCATACAATCATTACAGTTTATATTTTTTATTCTTGCAGATATTTTGATATCTTCACTGTTATTTTCGCAATATGGCTTATTAATACAACTTATATAAGTTCAATATTGTGATTTTTAAATGACACGAATAATGACGTACGGGACATTTCACAGTTACATTATTGGCAATAAGAAAGAAAAACTTTTTAAATTAAAGGAAATATAGCAATAGGTAAAACTTGATAAAATTTAGCTTTCTTCGTTTATTACTTCTCCCATTTGCTTTCATGACCTTAATTTCCAAATATAAATCATCGTTTATGAACGAAATCTATATCATCTATTTCATAAATCTTTATACGTAAAATATTTTTTAAAAAAAAGAAAGAAAAATTACTAAATTTTTTAGTAATATTGATCGATTTAATTATATTATAATAAGTAAGTCCATTATGCTAGTTATTCGAAGAATTTTCCATTCTTCGATAATTACAGCAATAAATTAAATCAGAAATTCGGTTCCATTAACAATATTTATTATCTATATATATAATAAGACTTATATAATAAAATATGCATTCATATTCAAAATTAGCTTTTAAGAGATAAGAATAATCTGAATATAAAATATAATTTTATATAGCTTATATTTAAAAAAAAAAATGTTAAAAATGTTAAAGAATATCCCCTGCTATAACATTCTGCCTAGTATTAGTGCCTTGTATAAATAAAAAGTGACCGACCAGTGAACGAGTTGATAAAACTAAGAACACTGATTTATGCCTCTAATTGACTGGCGAATATGAGTTTCAGAGTATTCTTCATGTTTGTAACTTATAATTATAAGATAATTTTTTTACAAAAGTACTCCTGACAGGTATCCCCTATTGGCAGATCAGCCACGTTTCGCGATGCTGTGAATATACAATCCATTTTATAGATAAAGAGTTCTTTGCTTGCGGCATTAGCAAAAATTAAACGTATAATTATGGTCACTCAAAATATGGCTACAGATTTATGCTTAAAAATATTTCAGAATAAGTTATGTTTTTTCGTGTAAGATCTGGTGATTAAAATTTAATGTTTATTACCTAAAGATGTAAAACAATAAAAGTTTTTTATACAAGTCACTAATGGTACGTAGACACTTTACTGTATAACAGTGACTACTGTTTTTATCTTTATACTTTCTGTCTAGTGAGCAAAAAATTAACATTATATCAAGACAATTATGGATTTGGCCAGGCGCACAATGAACTGGCCAGGTGGTAAAAGATGGGCTTGACATTTTTCAGACGGAACACCTCCCATAAATGCCTGGGGTTTTTGACTGCCCGGATTTGGCCAGGCGCACAATGAACTGGCCAGGTGGTAAAAGATGGGCTTGACATTTTTCAGACGGAACACCTCCCATAAATGCCTGGGGTTTTTGACTGCCCGGATTATTCCAAGTACCCACCGCAATATGCTAACTTAATTGCTTGGACAGATGTTCCTCTACGAATACTACCGGTATTACAATGTCTCTGTACAGCATGCAAGATGTAGTGCTCGATGTGGACATAATTCTAAACATATATAAATCTGTTTAACGACCTAATATAATTTAATCTTCATTCTGCTATTCATATACAATGTGATATTCTTTCGAGGTTGCCAAATTTGCTAAGTATCTTCGATAAACCACACGGTTTAAATGTTGTAACACAGAAGAACGTAAAAAAACTTCTAGTGTGCAAAAATGCCGTACTACGTGCCGTACTATTTCGCATGCTATTAACTGTTTCTGTACTAAAATATCATATTCACGTCCTAAAATATAAACATTTCAAGTTGGTTGCATTTAAACCGTTAAAAATGTCTCCAGTCAGAGTTAAATAGTATTTGATTAATTAATTACAATTATTCAGTATAAAAATTAATAAAAAGTTTCATATATATATATATATATATATATATATCATACAATAGATAAATATATACATATAATTAGCCCAGGAATATAGCCAAGTAGATTAAGTGTAAACCTACTAGTTTTTAACATCAAAAACGAGTCCACGCAATTAAAAATGAAAGGAAAATTTCTACGATGAACTCTCCAAGATATGTACGGAACTCTTCCTCACCACTCAGAAATATCATTGTAAATTTGACTGAACTTTAACTGCTTTATGGCCACAAGCTATTTTTTACTCTTTTTCTTCTACCGGCACTTGTTTTTAGCAAGCGCATTATAAATTCACCAAACCCACATTAGAGTGCTACGGGTTGACAGACTGGGGTGGACATACCCGGTCAGATATTAATAATTGAAATTACATGTTCAAGAAGCCAATTTTATAAGGTAAACTACAACATTTTTATGTAAAAATTATTTTAATATATTAATACAATTTTCAAATGTCTTAGAATTTATTTAGTGACTATATGAACTTAATATTTAAATTATTTTCTTTAGATAAATCTTTGCAACTTTTTGATATCGATTAATTTTCATTATTAGTGTTCCAGCCTCCTTCTACTAAAAATCAATACGCAATTTTGAATTAACCAACCGAGTTAAAGTAGGCGGATATCATTTGAAAAATTGATTTCAGGATCATGCGTATAATTGGTGAATGGAATAATTTGATGGGAAACAGCAATGTAACAAATCAGTGCGCAGCCACGCAGAATTGTTTTCGCAACAACTTTCGAAAAGGGACTACTTCCTATTTACGTGAAAGAATCCGAAAAACTCACCGCGCACGATTTGTTCATGAGGTCCTAGAACACCTATGGCGCTAATATTAGTGTTTAGTGATTTCATTTACAGTGACACGAAAATAATGGAAAACAAGCGCAGTAATCGTAATTGAATCCAACTTGGAAATGAAATTCTATACAGCATACGAATAATTTCACAACTTTTAACAATCACAAAGATCAACACATAAATACACTTCAAAATCGATAATAGTATTTTAAAAAACAACAATTTTGCAATCATGTCTTTGCAAGTAAACTTACCTCTGTCTGACTTTTGTCACGCTCCGATATTTCAATTTTATTTTTCTGTTATGGAAGTATTTGGGCTGGATATCGTCGAAATTTGCAAGTGTCGTAAACCAAGGACCGATAGCTTTGAAAAGTTTTTCACATTATATGTCTGTGCCATCGAGTTTATGTTATGGGGCACAGCAATATATTTCTTATTAATGTGTATATCTCCGAACGTTCCCTGCAATGAATTAGCTCTTATTGCAGGATCCAATTCTCTTTACGCTAAGTTAATTATGTTTTTTTTATGCTTATATGTAGCGATCCAATACAGCATCGTCAAAAGGAACAAATTTTATATTCATTATAAAAAAAACAATTGTACTGAAGAAGCAAAAAATTTACTGAAAAGAAAAACATATATTGTCACATATTTCATCGTCTATTGTTCGACATTAATATGCTCGTTTTTATTAGTAGCATTCGTCACTTTTTATACTATCGCGAATATTCAAACTAATTACAGCGTCGTCATTGTTTGCACCGTTAGTGCACAAATCAGCGCAATATATGTTATATCACATATATTTTCTATTCTCCTATACACCTCATTGTATATGTTAATGTTGGCAAATAAATTAACTACATTATCCAATGAATTACAATTTTCTAAAGATGCGACCGATTCCTTTCTTCAAGATCTTATGGAAAAACTTGTGGAATTTTGGGAAATTTGCCAAGGATTCAATGAAAAATGGAAGATTCTAATTCCTGTTATTTATACGCACTTTTTATATGAAACTTGCTTTTTTCTCTACGGTACACTTTTTCTGCATTTAGATTTGATTCTGCGGTTGTTTTTCAGTGTTGGTGTTTTACTTCTATTAATTGGAACATTTATAGTATCATGGGCATTATCGTCATTCACATCAATTGTAAGTGTTAATTCAATACATTACTACTATTATTGCAGTGAAATTTATCGTGTATTAATATTAGTAATGTTTTTATTACATTTTACCTTATTGTGAATTTAATTTTTCTGTTTCGCTGATAAACATTAAATTTATCATTTATTGATTTTTAGAATGTGGCTACTATTATCTTACCTAGTTGCTAATGCACTTTTTTGCAATAATAAATAACAAAATTAAATTTTATTAATTGTATTCTTACTTTTTCAGCTGTATGACAATTTCATCTCTATAGGGAAATTTCATTCCTCTCCATTGTCATCGGAATTTAAATTCAAAGTATAATTTCATTTTTATAAATCACAATGTCTGTGTTGTTTTATTTAAATTTGTGACTTTCAGGTTGTTGGCATCATGAAGAAATTTGGAGGAAGACCATTCGGATTATCTGTGGCCGGGTTTTTCTATATCAAGAAGAACTTCGTCATTCGGGTTTGTTTTTAAAAATATTAAGTTTCTGCTTATATTTTGCCGTATATTATTTGTGTTTAAAAAAATTTTATTTCATTTCTAGATGCTGAATGGATTATATTCTGTCTTCTCTTCGTTAATTCAATTGACAGGGGTTCTTGATCACAAGAAGTGTTCGGTAAAAATTGCCAATAGACTTACAGTTTTCAATGGAACAGATTCTCAACAGCTGTTTACATAAATAACAAATGGACGTTTTCGTTTAAATTCTTATAAATAAAAATTTAACTGCGATCCGCAATAGTAAAAAATATATCTTTCGTAGATACTAAATGAAAAACTATTGGAATGAAATAATTATATCATTTACTATCGCTTAATTTTGATCATTTCAAATTAACTGATGATTTGTAAATAAGATTCTGCTCTAATACATGAATTGTATTTTATACCTTGTACTCTAAAAAAGCATTACTTTTAAAATTTCGAAATATTTTGCCAAAGACGAAGACAAAAATATAGACTAATATCGAATAAACAAAACACCGTATAAATTAAATGAACTACTGTATACTTGTACTGATATGCAATCAGACTTGTCATGAAGACGTACGTGTACGTTGAAAATGAAGACCTCTGAACAGCAGAAATAAATAAATTATTCAGTAAACTACTTATACTTGCACTGTAGTGTACAAGCTTTGCCCTCAATTAACGGCCATATTGGATTTATGCTTGTGTCCATGGCGGCGCCTGTCGTGCCATCTGTATGTAATATTCACTCGGCGATTAAAATGTAAANGAATAAATTATTCTTTAAATTACTTATACTTGCAATGCAATGTACAAGCTTTGCTCTCAATTAAGACTATAGTTGTTAAATTAAACACTTTAAATTTTGTAAAAAAGCTTTCGGTGCAAAGAAGAACATTTAGATGATAATGCAATTGTTTAAAATATGTCTTTTACATTAAAAAATCATCTAGAGGCTATGCTAAAACGTATTGGGCACTTATTTCAGATAATACTAACCAGTCTGCTTTTTTAAATAACACCTAGTATTTTAAATATTTTAGCTAATGATAACTTTGTTTGTAAAAAAATTTTTAATAAATTTAAAAAGTAAATTTTTAAAATATAAAAAGAATGATATTACAGAGTATAAAGTCATATACTTTTTAGCCATGTTGAGCATATTTTGTCCTCTTGAAAAGTTAATAAACGCATTTGATACAATTTTAAATTATATTGAAGAGTTTATAACATATGGATTGGGGTGGATATTAAAATTATATTTATAGATATACATATAAGAATATATAAAAATGAAAAATTAGAAGATATGATAATATTATTCTTCCAGAACATTTATTTAATAAACAATGTGTATTAAATATTAAGTGTTTACACCAGTGTTTCTCAACCTCTAACGAATCGTCGCCCCCTTCGACGTGGTATCGCCCCCTTCAATAAAACCGTTACGTAGTATCGCCCCCTTCACTACAAAATTCCGATGCCGAAGGACAAGGCTAACGCCAAATTCGTACTGCATTGAATTGACTAGTGACTAGTATAATGTTATTTGTTTAATTTATAACGAATAAAATATCTAATTATTCTTAATATAATGTTTTACTTTATCGCCCAGAAAATTGTTTTTCGCCCCCCAAAATATAAATTGTTGCTAATCGCCCCTTGAACATGGAAAAACTCCCACATGGGGGCGATATCGCCCCCGTTGATAAACACTGGTTTACACAATCAATGTTTTTTATATTGTATACTTGCAGGTATGTACCCCTCAGTTAACTATTAAAAAATTCTATATTAAATTTATATTTAAAATATTTAAATATAAATTGTTTAAAATTTTCTGTAAATGTTAAAAATATTACGACATTAAAAAAATTTCTCAGCTATTCAGGTATATGGATATAAAAAGAAACTAATTTAATACGATTTATATAGGCAAATTTTAATTTAAAAAAGAAATAAATTTGTTATTATACAAATCATGTTATTTTTAATAAGAAATATTAAGAGGCTAAATTCATAAACTTATATGCTATTCGAACTATAATTATTGATAACAAGAATTACATAATATATGCTAATTCTTATTGTGATGATAACGTCATTAATAATTTTTAAATTTATTTTGAAAAGCTATTAAAATAATTTGTTAGAATAAATACATTGTTATGTTGAAATTAAATATCATTTCTAATAATTCAAGAAATTTATGCAGTATTTGTAAACAAAAATTTTGATTATAATGATATCCGTGTAATAGATCATAATCCTTTAATCCGTTAATACCCGAAACTTTTGTCGAAAATCAATTTAATTTAATAATTATATTCTGTCGATAGATAAAAATTATAATCGGTACAGGTTTGTAATGAGTGGATATTTATCTGTAATAATTTCAGATGGTTGTTTTAATATGAGATAAACGCTTTATATATACGTAGGGAATTCGATCCCGGTCCTTATTTCTAATCCCGGGATTTCGGGATTATACTTATTCGATCCCGGGATCCCGGGATTATTTCGGTATTGAGAGTTAATAAAAAATAAGAAAATCTTACAGAAATTAAACATCAAAATTTAGACAAAAATCAACGTATTTTACGGTATACACCTAGTTAATTTAATCACTCTAATTAATCAGACTTACAGTCAGACTAACCAGACTTAAAATCACTGTCTTCATGTTAAATTTATTCTTTTTTAAGCATCACTGAGATCTCTTTAAACTCACATAAATTGAAAAAACTTTTATGTAACAAACTATGCAAATAAACGTTGAAAATTCACAAAAATCTCTCTTAACATCGACTAAATAGACTACTTTCATATAACAACCTAGTAAGTAGGTAGTAAAGTAAGTTTCTTAGCAAAAAGTATTTAAAAATAATATTAATCAGTCACATTTTTCTTAAATATAAAGAAAACTAATCTAATAGGAACATTCTAATTTGAATTGCGAAAATATGATCTGAGAAATAACAACGCATCCAGTGTCTCATCACCAAGTCTGCTTCTCAATTTGTTGCACATATATGCAGCTGCAGAGAAAACGCGTTTAGGTTTGATGGAAGTTGGAGGAATCGTTAGTAAATACTTATAAGCTTCGAGGACACGGGGAGGATGGAAGAAAACAGTCCGGTCGACACGGATCGGGATTGTAGGAGTAAAGGCTACAATCCCGATTGTTTCGATCATTGTAAGCATGTCTTTCTAAAAATAAACGCGTTAATTTTGTAAATTCGGTCTCTGTGTGAGTCTCTCAGCGTCCAGCAAACCACTACCCCGAAACGTAAAAAGACTTTCTCGCATCATCCTGACAGATCGCGGGCAAGGCGAGGGTCATAACCTTTTCACCTAAGGTCGACCCCCCTAAGCGAGAGGCGTCGGGTCTATATTAACCACACTGGCAAAACAAGATGGCTGACACATTGACAGGTAAAACGCACTGAGTAGTGCTCTCGACTGCGCCAGAAAATCGATTGGCGCCCGCGAAAATTCAAAAATACAAAAATGAAGTATATTACCAAGTAACCCAGTGAGAACTGCTTGCCTATCATTTTAGTTGAAAATACAAGAAGTTTTATTCCAAGCAAGCATCGCAAGCCCGCTAGGTTAATTTCTGCTGCTTGCTTGGAATAAAATTTCTTGTATTTTATATTAAAATGATAGGCAAGCAATTCTGTTAAAAGCACTGGCACTGAACGTTTCGCTTCATGCAGTCTATTTTGCAATTTTTTTAAAATGATGTCAATCCTGAAAATCCCGGGTTTAGGAAAACTTAATCCCGAAAATTTTGGGACTGAAAAGTGGTCGGGATCTCGGGATCCCGATTTTCGAGATCCCGGGATTAAATCCTCTATATATACGTAATATATCAGATGAAAGTAACGATGGATATATCTTAGATGTAAATCTAAAATATTTCCAAAAGTATTGATGATAGACATAATGATTTACCAGTAGCTGCCGAGCGTATTAATATTTTGTATGATTTGTTATCTAATTATCAAAGGACAGTATTAAATAAATTAAACTTAAAATACATTAATACTAATAAACAATTAATTACTGCACTTTTTGATATTGACAAATTATATAATTCATTATAGAAATTTAAAATTTTATTCATAAATGGGTTTAATAGTAACTAAAATTCATAGAGTACTATCGTTTTGACAGTGTTTGGGTTAATTAAATAATACTTATTATTTAATAATAAAGAAAGATAAGAATCAACTGAAAATTTAGGTAGATCAGTTTTCAAACTAACGAATAATAGTTTTTTCAGGAAAACCTGCCAAAATGTAAGAAAGCCATTAAATTAAAAGCAGTTACGACATTAAATCAATATCGCAAATATCTATCTAAAACAATCCATAGAAAAATTTCAAATTATAAACGATGATCTCACAATTTTCAAAATGAAAAACCAAGTTTATCTTTAGACAAACCTATTCATATAGCTATTTCTGTATTAGAATTAAGAAATTACATAGATATGAAAAATATTTCATTAAAACATTTAAAAACAGATATGAAAAAAATACATTTATTATATACAGACATAGATTTTATAATTTTCTAACACATCAGATTTATACAAACGATGTTTATTGAGATTTTAAATCGTTCCCAGATATTTTTGATTTTAGTAACTATCTAAAAATTCAAAAATTATATAACGAATGAACAAAAATAAATTATGAAATTTTAAGAACAAAACACTATTGAAACTAATAATTGAATTTTGTTCTCTAAAACCAAAAATGTATTCTTATATTTTTGATAAACAAAATAAAAAAAACTGCTAAGAGAATTAAAAAATTTGTTATAAAACATTTGATCATGATAACTTTATAGAAGTTTTTTTCCAATACAAAGCTTTTAATTTATGAACTATACAAGATTAATAGCAAAAATCATTCAAAATCAAAAATTCAAAAAAATTATATACAGCATACAAATAATTTGACAAAGTAGTAATGACAT